TAAGATCAGGAAAAAGGCGAGGATGTCCCCTCTCATCACTCCCTTTCAATATCATACTGGAAGTCCTAGCTAATTCAATAAGACAAGAAGAAGAAATAAAAGGTATACAGTTTGGCTTTCCTGGTGGCGCAGTGGTTGAGAGCCCGCCTGCAGATGCAGGGGACACAGGTTCGTGCCCTGGTCCGGGAAGATCCCACATGCCGCGGAGCGGCTGGGCCCATGAGCCATGGCTGCTGAGCCTGCGCGTCTGGAGCCTGTGCTCCGCAACGGGAGTGGCCACAACAGTGAGAGGCCTGCATACTGCAAAAAAAAAAAAAAAAAAGGTATACAGTTTGGAAAGGAAGAAATAAAACTGTCTTTTAGCAGGAGACATATTCATCTATGTAGAAAACCTAAAAGAAATTACTGAAAAAAAAAGAAAACCTCTCCTGGAACTAATAAGTGATTATAGCAAGGTTGTAGGATATAAGGTTAGTATACAAAAGTCAGCTGCTTTCCTATATACCTATATAGAACAAGGGGAATTTGAAATATAAAACACAGAGCCATTTACATTAGCATCAACAAATGAAATACTTAAATATAAATTTAATAAAATATACACAAGATCTATTTGAGGAAAACTGCAAAACTTTGATGAAAGAAGTCAAAGAACAACTAAATAAATGAAGAAATATTCCATGTTCATGGATAGGAAGACTCAATAGTGTCAATATGTCAGTTCTTCCCAATTTGATTTACAGAGTCCATGTAATCTCAATCAAAATCCCTGCAAGTTATTTTGTGGATATTGATAAAGTGATTCTAAAGCTTATATGAAGAGGCAAAAAACTCAGAATAAGCAGCACAATATTGAAGGAGAAGAACAAAGTTGGAGGACTGACACGACCTGACTTCAAGACCTACTGTAAAACTTTTATAATCATGAAAGTGTGGTATTATGGAAAGAACAGACAAATAGATGAATGAAAGAGAATAGAGAGCCCAGAAATAGACCCACATAAATATAATCAACTAATCTTTGACAAAAAGAACAGACAATACAATGGAGTCTTTTTAAACAAATGATGCTGGAACAACTGGACATCTACATGCAAAAGGATGAATTTAGGCATAAGCCTTACACCCTTCACAAAATTAACTCAAAATGATCACAGACTTAAATGTAGAATACAAAAACATAAAACTCTTAAAAGATTACATAGGAAAAAAACCTAGATGACCTTGGGTATGGTGATGACTTTTTAGATACAACACCAAAGTCATGATCCATTAAAGAAATAATGGAAAATCTGGACTTCATTGAAATTTAAAACTTCTGCTCTACAGAAGACAATGTCAGTAGAATGAGAAGACAAGTCACAGACTAGGAGAAAATATTTGCAAAAGACATATCTGATAAAGGACTGTTATCCAAAATAATCAAAGAAGTCTGAAACTCAACAGTAAGAAAACAAAAAACCTGATTTTAAAAAAGGTCAAAGACCTTAACAAATACCTCACCAAAGAAGATATACAGATGGCAAATAAGGATATGAAAAGATGCTCCACATGATGTCATCAGGGAAATGCAAATTAAAATGAAATTCCGCTATACACCTGTTAGAATGGACAAAATCTGGAACACTAACACCACCAAATGTGGAGCAGCAGGACCTTTCATTTTTGGTGGGAATGCGGAATGCTATAGCCGCTTCAGAAGACAGTCTGGCAGTTTCTTACAAGACTAAACATACTCTTACCATATGATTTGGCAATCCTGCTCCTTGGTATTTACCCAAAGAGGCTGAAAACTTATCTCTACAGAAGAACCTGCTCACAGGTGTATATAGCAGTTTTATTCATAATTGCCAAAACTTGGAAGTAACCAAGATGTCCTTCAGTAGGTGAATGGATAAATAAACTATGGTACATTGAGACAATATAATATTACTCAGCACTAAAAAGAAATGAGCTTATCAAGTCATGAAAAGACATGGAAGAATCTTAAATGCATATAGTTAAGAGAAGGAAGCCAATCTGAAAAGGTTACATACTGTATGATTCCAGCTATATGACATTCTGGAAAAGGCAAAACTATGGAGATTATAAAAAGATCATTGGTTGCCAGGGGGTTGGGGGGAATGGGGAAAGGATGAATAGGAGCACAGAGGATTTTAAGGGTAGGGGAAATACTCTGTATGTTACTATAATGATGGATACATGTTATTATACATGTATACATAGACATATAAGGATTTGTCCATACCCATATAATGTACAACACCAAGAGTGAACCTTAATGTAAACTGTGGACTTTGGGAGACTGTGAAGTGTCAGTGGAGGTTCATCAATTGTAACAAAGCTACCACTCTGGTGAGTCATGTTGATAATGTGTTGGACTATGCATGTGTGGGGCAGGGGGTATATGGGAAGTTTCTGTACCTCCTTCTCAATTTTGCTATGAACCTAAGATTGCTCTAAAAAATTGCCTTTAAAAAATGCAGACATTCAATAGAGTTCATAATAACAAAACAAGATTTGCTAGCTTCGTGAAGCTCCTCTTTCTGTGCAGTTCAGCTGGGGCTGGAAGGGAAAATCTAGAAGACTGTAGGTTTGGCAGACAGTACATGTTCCTGGTAGTGGCCCGTAGTAGAGGAGGAGGGGCCTGGATGGAGGGAATAGAGCAGCAGTGGCTTCTGTAAAGATACCAAAGCCAGACTAAGTAAGGCTGAGGATGGGATCCAGGACAAGGCAGGGCTCAAGCCAAGCAGGAAGCAGATATGGAGTCTTTCTGGCATTGGGTCCCGATCGAGGTTGGGCAGAGGTGGGAAAGAGATTTTTACTCTTTCTTATTCACATTTTGCTCTCCTCTAAAACCAACTGAAATGGAGAGAAAAAGAATAGGTTGGAGAAAAATAACAAGTTGGTTGGGAAAGAAACTGTACCATTAAGTTGCATAGGACTTTTGTCAAAGTAGCATTCCTCCTTTGCATCCTACCCTCAGACCCACCTAGAAGGGTCCCAAGTCAGCAGAAAGCTTAGTCAGAGGGATTCCTCAGGCTTTACCATAATCCTAGAACATTTGATCAGATGGTTCAAATGTGAAATTATCTAATTTAGAAAACAATAATTTATTCTCTCGATTCAAGCTTACGGTGTTATAATATTCACATGATCTGTGATGATAAAGCTAATTTGAAGTTATTTCCTCAAGTAGAATTTTTATAGTAGCATACTTTCTGCTGAAAACTTAAGAAAATATATGTACGTACTTATATTGTCTACATGTGTTAGAAATTAATAGCAACTGCTGAAAAATGATTTCAATGCCTGTTAGAATTCAGCATTAAAAACAATTTAAAGTACTGTTCCATCACAGGTCGAAATGCCAAATAGACACTTCTTTCTAATTGGCTTGAAATGCATTTTTCTTTGAGTTAAGCTTTACATGCTGTGCTCATGTATAAGCACCTCCCCTTGCCTTTGACTTTTTCATAATGGAAATCTCTCTCTTTTTTTCCATTATTTATTGTTTGTGTAATTTAACCAATTCTTCAAAATGATATATTTTAAATGGAAATGGTTATATATTTTTTTCTTATTTTATAAGTAGTATATATACAGGTTAAAAAAAAGTTAGAAAATTCAGAAGACTATAAACATGAAAAAAATTCTCTCTATAACCCTACTATCCAGAAATAATTGCTTTTATTATTGTGTATCCATCTAGGCATTTTTATGTGCCTAATAACACAGTCTTTAAAAACATAAAAATGTATTCCTAATGTACATACTGCTTTATAGTGTTCTTTTTTCTACTTTACTTTGGATCATAGACATTTTTGTTCATTCATAAATGTAGATTACATTGTAACTTTTAATAGCTGGATAAATTCCATTATGGATGTGCCATTTTTTAAAAAACAATTTTTCTACTGTTGGTGATTAAGTTTGTAATATTTTTTTTTAAAGAGTCACATGAGTAGGTTGGGAAGGGTTTCCATGGAGTGTTGTTTAGTCAAAAAAGCAAGATGCAAAAACGTATTTATAGTATGATTTCATGTTAGTCAAATGATAAAATAACACTATATTTGTGTATATTTGTGTCAGTGTAGAAAATAAGTGTGCCAAAAAATATGGAAGATATAATTCAAGGATACAACTGAGATACATACCCTAGATATTGGATATATAGAGAAGGCACTGCTACAAGTGGATAAGGAAGAAAAAGCGATTGAGGGATGCAAGCTCAAAAGCACAAGAAAACACTGCACTAAAACATTAAACCATATGTGCTGTCATACTTATTGTTTAAGAAATTATGTGTAAGGGCGGGCATATGTTTAAGTGAATTAAAAAGTTTTTTTTGTATTTAAAAATAGACAGAATGAAAAAAACAAGGGTGAAAATAATGGGTCCAAGGTTGATGCCTAATGACTCCAGGTATAACCATGTTTTAAAAATAAAACTGGCCATTAAAAAAAGTTTTTTACTCTTATGAGACTTTATAAACATGTCTGCATATATCTTTGCACACTCATTGAATTATTTCCTACAATAAATTCCTAGGAGTACAATTGCTGGGGCAAAAGGGTATTTTAAGGGTTTGATATATATTGATAAGTTACCTGTTAGTTAGGTTGCACCTATTTGTATTTCCATCAACAGTTTATGAGAATGTCTGTTTCTTCACAACTTCATTGATGCTAGGTACTTTCACACTTTTAAATCATTGCTTACATTATATAATAAAATAGCATCTTGCTGTTTTAATTTACTTTTCTTAGATTACTAGTTATGTTCATTATCTTTTCATATGATTGTTAGAAGTTTTACTTTTTGTTTTCTGGACTGTCCTTTACCCATTTCTCTGTGGCTATTTAACTGTCTTATTGATTCACAAGGGCATTTTATATAGAAAGACTGTTTAACTATTTATCACATATGTTTCAAAACCTATTGATAGGTATAAAGTGATTGTATCAGGTTCTAATTTTTAAAATGATTTCCTCTTTTAGGGCAGAGCCATATACTTTTCCTCCTCCTTCCACTAAGTACCTCCCCATTCCTTCAAAGTATACTGTGGGCACTCAGACTGATTATCGCGATGCCGAAGTTCAAACAGACCCGTATTCTCCAGAATACATAGTATGTCAGGATTCCATCCCTGAACTGCTGACCCTGGCTACTCTCACTTGGGGTGAGTTGGTAATTCTTTTGAATATTTGCAGATGACAGTCCTGATAACCACACGTGCTATTGAGTTCTTGGAAATGACACACATAGAGGCAACTGTGGTTTAAAGTATTGCTATTTAAAGCGTCTTGCTCAGTAGAGCTACTTCGTAGACTCATACATTTTCTGATAAATTTGTTCAAAGGTATTTACGCCCTTTTCACTGTAAGGAGGCTTATTGTTCTTTTCCCCTGAAGCTGAAGTTATATTTCGGCTTAATTTTGTGGTTACTTTACTGACGGCTCCCCTCCCCCTTCTCACTGTTTCTCCCAGTGAATCAGTTCTTTTTCACTGAGGCATTCATACTCCTTCTTTACACATAAACCTTTCTTGAGTGTATAATACTGAATGCCTATTCCAACATATGTAATAATATTATCTTTCTTTGCTAAACTATCCTGCAATTTATCAAGGCTCTCTTATATACTTTATTTGATGATTTGGATGATTTCTTTTGATATTATCTCTGAAATGCTAATATCTTCCAGGCTCAGAAATTCACTCTCAGAGTATAGAAATTCACTCCGGTCTAGGCCCTTATTATGTGAAACTATAAAAATTAATAAGAGAAGGGACCTTTAGAACTCATGTAGCTTATTGAACTCACTTGATCGTAGCTGGGAAACTGAGAGCCAGAGAGGCTGACTCCTCTAAGGTCATGGAGCTAGTTGGTACACTGTAATGATTTTTATTAAAATGAGATTTTACTTTTGTTTCCCCAGTGTAATTAATTGCTGTGATCAATTCTGCATCACAGGCAAAGAAGATGTTCATATCTGAGCTCTAGTTTTGATTCTTGTTTCCTGGCCCACTTTATGAATCCAGATTAAGCATTCTTGACACCCACACTTTAAACCAGAGGCTCTAATTTCAGGCCTAGATGACAGGTTAAAAGTACGCTGAAATCTTTCCCTCTGCCCTCAGCACATAAAAGACATATTATAAAGATTAATAACCACACTTAAAAGCAAGGAAGAAAATTTCCATAGTCTAGAAGTGGAGACTTCTTCCTAAAAGAAAGAAATAGCTGGGAACCTGTGATGGTAAGCAGGGACTATGAATGGTGGGGAGCAGATCTGAGTTACCTGCTTAAACTAAAGGAGACAGAAACTTTTCTCCTGCCCACAGATAGGATTGAAGCCCAGTGCCTGCCGGTCTAAGCCAAGTGCTCCTATCTGGGGCCTTGGGCTTTACCTCTTGGTGTGACAAGGGCTTAGCGTTGAGCTGCAGGAGGACCAGAACCAGGACATCTAAAACAAGAAATCCGGGCAGGGGCTCAGAAGTGCTTCACTTGGTAAAAGGCCTAATCTGGAGCCCTGCCACTGGCAGCTCTGGGGTTGAAGTATCAATAAAAACCTCCATGAGTTAGGCCTACCTCCTCATTGGTGAGGCCCTGGGCCGAGAGGTTCAAATAGAGGCCCATATACTATTGATATATGCATAGATGTTTAAAAATTATAAATCAAGCCACTATCTGTTAGATAAAGTACGTTCTATATTTTTCACAAATAAATCTTTCTAAAAAGTTGAAAAGATAAATGTACATTTAAAATTCTTAGACTCTTTGGGATTGCATGCTGGAATGTGGCAGCAATGGGAGAGGCTGCCTAGTGGCCTGCCCTTTTCTCTGGCTCTGTTCAACATCACAAGGGGCCTGTCATGCATGTATATGATTGCCCCACCTTGCTTCTCCATTTTCTGTTTACACATCCTTGCAAACAGCTGCCACTTGGCTATGCCTTGGGCTTAAGGGTGAACAAACAGCAGCATATAGTCTGCCCTCAGGAGTCTGAATCCTGGGAAGGGGCCCATGTAGGTTTTGGAAGTGGGCTTGGGGCAATTTATGCATGGAATTCCAGGCCCTCTAAGAGCAGGAGTACTCCAGGTGGGCATTTTGTAGTATTATCTTTAAAGTGCTGTGGGAAAATAATTTCAAATCTAGAATTCTTATACCAGCCAACCTGTTATTCAGTGAAGGTGAAATAAGGACACTTTCACAGGATAGGACATTTCATAGGCCTATCTCATAGGATATTGTAAAGATTAATTTAAATTCATTTATGTAATGTGCTTAGACCAGTGCTTAGTATGTGAATAAGCTTTCTATACATGTTAGCTATTAATCTGAAAAGGAAGAACAAAAGGACATACTTCAACAAGAAGAAAAATAAGCCCAAAAGGAAGAAGCAGTGTTTAAGAATATGATGAGCAAAAAAAGAGAAAAATATGTAATTAAAAATTTAGGGCTTCCCTGGTGGCGCAGTGGTTGGGAGTCCGCCTGCCGATGCAGGGGACGCGGGTGGGACGCGGGTTCGTGCCCCGGTCCGGGAAGATCCCACGTGCCGCGGAGCGGCTGGGCCCGTGAGCCATGACCGCTGAGCATGCGCGTCCGCAGCCTGTGCTCCGCAACGGGAGAGGCCACAACAGTGAGAGGCCCGCGTACCGCAAAAAAAAAAAAAAAAAATTTAAAGTGTTGAGTTTTTAAAAATGATACTTAAAAAAAAATAAAAAAGAATGAAGCAAGTACTAAAACTCTAGATCAGGATTAGCAAACTATGGTCCATAGGCCAGTTTGGCCTATTGCCTTTTTTTATATGGCCTGCAAGTTAAGGATTTTTACATTTAAAAATGGATGAAAAAAACCTATTATGCGACATGTGAAAATTATTTGTACTGTTTTGTGACTTGTGAAAATAATATGAAATTAAAATTCCAGTGACCCTAAAAAGGTTTTATTGGAATACAGCCAAACTTATTTGTTACGTAGTGTCCTTGCCTGCTTTTGCACTGCCATGCAGAATTGAGTAACTGAAAGAGACTGTGAGGCCCACAAAGCCTCATATATTTACTCACTGGCCTTTCACAGAGAAAGTTTGATGACCTCTGCTCTAGATCAGTCCTTTTCAGACTTTTGCATGAATAAGAATCATCTGGTGAGCTTGTTAAAACACTGATTCCTGGCCCCATCCCAGAGATTCTGATTTACTAGGTCTGAGAAAGGGTGGAGAATTTGCATTTCTACCAAGCTCTCAGATGCTGCTGCTACTGCTGGTTTAAGAACCACGCTGAGCACTGGAGTTAAGAAGAAATAAGAATAAAGCATGCGAAAATTCTGTTTTCTTTTGGAGAGAGAGCAATATTAATTAGCTTTAGACTTTATTAGAAAACTATGAGTGGAAATTTCTAGGTTAAAAAATTTATGTGTAACCTCTGGAAAAAAGAGAAAAAATATATCATTTCACAATTGGTAAAGGGGAAAAGGAGGAAATAACAGTAGAAATGGGGGAAAACGCAAAGAAAAAACACAATAAATAGAAAATGCATAGTAAAGTGTAGGGAAAATGTTCAAATATTTTAATAATCAAAGTATATAATAAAAGTGACTTAAACTTGCCTATTAAAAAATTCTGGGATTGAATTCATTAAAACCCAGCAAAAACAGCTTGCTATTTATAAAATAGCATTATAACTTTGAAAATAAAGGAGTGGAAAATATACTGAAAGCTGACCCAAAGAAAGCTGGTGTAACAATGTTAATATTAGACCAAAGTTAATCAGAAAACAGTAAAAGGGATAATGAAGAACATGAAATCGTTATAAAAGGAAAAACCCACCAGAAGTTATATCTGTTATGAATTTGAATTTACTCTGCATAGACTCAAAATATAAAGCAAAACTGATTGAATCACAAGGAGAAATGGACAAATTCCTATTCACAGTGGAAGATTTTTTAATGCTCCTCTTTCAGATTAAGCTATCAAAAGTTAGGATTTAGGTGATTTGAACAAGATGATTAACGTATTTCACATAAAAGACTTTGCATGTGGTAAGCCATGGGGACACCTGCTATAGATCTGATTATGCATTAAGAAAATGTGGGAATAACTTGGCTGTAGCATTTCAAGGAGATAATTATGGTTCTGGGCTCCTTTGAACTGGCAGATTTCTCACTCCACATTTATAGTCATTTGATTTATGAGAAAGATGCCACTATATTCAGTGGGAAAAAGGAGGTCTTTTCAATAAATGTTGATGAAACAATTAGATATCCATGTGCAAAAGTGAACTTTGATTCTGATTTCTACCTCCAGGCAGTACTGGGAAAAACAAACAAACAAACAAAAAAACCAACGTGTGTGTGTGTGTGTGTGTGTAAATTGATAACCTGATTCTAAAATTAATATGGAAATGTGAAAGGGTCAAAAGTAGCCAAGGCAAATGTGAAGAAACAGAACAGTATACACTATGAGATACAAAGACTTACTTTAAAGCTGCAGTAATTACACAGTGTGGTATATTCTCAAAGGTACACAAATAGATCATTGTTACAGAATAGGGAGTCCAGAAATTAACCCACAAGTAGATATCATCTGACTTAAGACAAAGATGATACTACAGTACACTAGAAAAAAAATGATCTTTTCAATAAATAGTGCTGAATCAATTAGATAGTCATCTTGAAAACAGTGACTCGATTCCTAGTTCACACCATAAACTGAACCAATCCCAGATGTCTAAATGTGAAAGGTGAAACAAAAATTTAGAAGGAAACATAAGAGAATATTTTCATGATCTTGGGTAGGTACACATTTTATTAAATAGAACAAAATTGCTAACCATAAAGGGAAAATTAAGAAATTAGATCACATTAAAATTAAGAACCTCTGTTCACCAAAATACATTAAGATAGTGAAAAGGCAAGCCACATATTGGGAGAAGATATTTGCAATACCTACATATGACAGAAGACTCATATCTAGAACACATAAAGAAATCCTACAAATCAACAAGAAAAAGACGACCCAATAGAAAAGTTAGCAAATGATGTGAGCCGTCACTTGATACAATGGGTTTTCAAATGGCCAGTCAACATATGAAACAGTGTTCAACCTGATTAGTCATCAGGGAAATGCAAATTAAAATCTCAGTTTGATACTACAGATATACCAGAATAGCTAATGTTAA